GATACAAAAATTGCAAAAAATGGACAAAAACGGATTATGTGAATATTGAAAAATAATCAGTCATACAGTAAGTGCAATAGTAAAGTAGTAAAGGAACCTCTTCCTAGAAAGAGTGATCGTCCGATGGTGAAAGGCAAGCTATCGATCCAATCTCTAGAAAGAATCAAATTTGTACAGATGGAGGGTGATTTATGTAGGGCAAGAGGCAAACATGAATTGTAGTATGGAGGGAGGCTAGAGCATGGTTTATGCTTGAGTCACGATTTCGGACCATTCCATCGATTGTGGTGAGGATTGAGTCGGTCGATTTGAAGGTGTTTCGGTGCAGTCAGTTGTTTCTCTCCATCCAGATCAAGTAGATGAGACATTGCCAAGCAATCAGTGTGGTAGTCTTCTTCTCTTTCGGTCTATTTCTCGGAAGTTGTCACTCAGATTTTTTATTGGCGATAGTCCATATAATATTTTGGGTTTGCTAACGTTTACTAACAACTAACTTCTGCACGGACCCCTCCTACGACATCCACATCAAAGTTCGATACATCCGATAATTTAGGTTTGTGTTGTTGAGATCAAAATATTTTAAATTCAATTGAATTGATTTAATATTTGTGTTTTATTTTGAAGAGATGTGTTGTTGAAGTATGTGTGCGATTGTCAAGAATTGCAAGTTACGTTTACTAAGCTCTCCAAGTGTGCGGCCTTAGAGAATTTTGACTTGGGCAAGACTAGGAAAGTCCTAAGGCAAGTTTTGGTCGAAGAAAATCTGAATTCTATTGAGTAAAAATGAAATTGGGTCGAAAAGTACTCGACAGGTAGGATCGGTACACGTTTGGGTCGAGATTATGTGTTGTGGGTCGACTGCGGATAAGTCTAGGCGCATCATGGGTAGTTTTGTTGATCAGGACAGGACGGGAGGGGTAAAAAGAACTACAGACAAGTGTTAGTAAGGTGATAGACACGTGCTAAACGAGTGTCAAACATGCGACTTTGACTGTGACACATGTCAGAAGCTCCTACACTTGGCAAAACACGTCTCCACTTGGCAAAACACGTCTGCACTTGGCAAAACACACTATGATCGACTTTGGTCTATAAATAGGACCCTTAGGCTTAGTTTTATCAAGCCATAGATAGATTTACTTATCCTCATGCTGTCAAAGTCGCTTTAGCCTTACCCGTAGCGGATTTTCAAGGTTTTTGTTCGGTTTTGACGGGTTTTGCTAGGAGATCAAGGTAAGATCTAGCATATTCGTTGGTTTCATCCTAGAATCCAGTAGCCAGTTGTTAAGTTAAGGTTTTGCCTTAGCTTCAGGTTAAACGAGTCGCGGGGAGGGAGATCGGATCATGTCGGAAGTCACTCTAGGAAACCTCTGATCGAAATCTGTGAGTGCGGTGATGTTTGCCGTGTGGTGATGAGTCGATCACACGGAATTGTTTATTTTTAATGTATTATAATTGTCCAGTTCATGCTAGGATTGTATGCATGTGTGACTGATTCACTAAGGGAAATCGATCGGATTGCATGTGCATGTGTGATCGGTAATGGTTGTGAGTCTTGGTGATATTGCGTGTGGTACTAACGGTTTTCGTGCAGGCAGTTGGTTTCATGCAAGGGATGTTCCGGTGATCGGACATCATGCATGGTTGTGTGATTTACGATTCTGAGGTTCTTAGCAATTTTGTGTGATTCTTGCTAAGTATGAATTGTATTTTTGTGTTGCATGTGAGTGTTGCATGTTAGGTTAAATACTTGTGGTGAGGTGCGTGGTAAAGGGTCTCGTACTTAGTTGGAAGTACGTAGTACAGGTTATCACATACTTAGTAAAAAGTATTTGCATGCGTCTCAAGTTAAGTTCAGTAGAACTTAGCTTAGGAAGAGACCAGGTTGTGGTTATTTGCATGTTAGGTAAGAACATGCACGTAATAATCAACCTGGGGTTGGTCTGATGTTCCTAAGAAAGATACGGTGGGTGCTGTGCGCATGGCAGGAACCTGGTTGGCCCCCAGGGCCATGGATACACGATGGTGTATTGAGTTTCAGGTGAAACTCGGATTGGTTTAGACTTTGTGTCTACGAATCTAGGGAGGAACAAGAAGAGTGGTCGGTACCGCCAAGCGCTAATGGGAAGTAAAAGGAAATGCATTGCATATAGACTTGGTTGTGTCTAGGCGTAATCATTCTGGTTGATTACCTACATGGGCATTTGCGTTGTCATGATTGTGGTTCTGTGATTGATTGCTTTTGTGTGATCGCATCTTGTGTTAGATGCAGGGCCATTTGTGTGTTGACTTGATTGGTTGTTGAGTTTTTAGTGTTATTTGGCTTGGGTGGGGATGTTTGTGCATGTTAGTAGAGCCGTACTCACTGAGTAGTATTAGACTACTCATCCCACTCTTTTTGTTGCAGGTAACTAGTAGTTGGGAAGCCATAACGGGGACGTCGGACGTTAGGACATCAGTGTAGATTGTGTTGCTCTTGTAAATGGAATAATGTTTATTATGTACGAATTTGACTCGGATACCTAAAGTTATAGTGTTTTGGTAACATTTTGTAAAGGATTTATACTTGGTATAAATAAAGGAACGTTTCTAAAGCTGCGAGTGTCAACTGGTGCTAATCTTGTCCGGACGAGCCTACCGTTCTGATCTGTTTCGGGTTGAAAAGCCTTAGGATCAGGTCAGGCGGAGGAAACCTCTCGAGAACCGTTGGGCTAAGAACCAGAATTTGTTTTTGGAACTTTGGCCTGATAGCTCTCGAGTGACGGTTGTAATATTTCTGGTCAGGACGCGGTGACCGCAGATCAGGGGTGTTACAGTTACCATGGCTGTTGAACGGCACTGCTCATGCAAGTTTCCTCAACCAGTTGTTGAACGAAAGTTATATTAATGTTGAGCCTCGTAGCTTGAAAAGCAAGGAGACAGAAAGCAGGGAAAATAGATATTTACTTGTGGTGTTGTTGGAGCTTCAACTCTTGGCTCGAGCATCTTGAAGCTATGAAAACTTGTAAGAGTTTTGGTTATGATAATCAAAGCATTATATATGCTTACAAGAAAGAAGATTCATCATAATCCATCATGTCATAAATCTTATAGACTATTGTTTTATGTATATTCTACTGAAATTCATAAAAATATATGGAATTTTTCTTCATAACTCTCATATTATACATAAATCTCTCTGATAAAATATGTGACAAATTGTCCTTTGTTCCAAAGTTATTTGAGATTGCTGTCAGGCACTCACATAGTCACATAGACTTGGACGTCTTAGTGCGCAAACCAATACAATTGCGCTTTTTGGCTTCTTTTTTTAAAGACAAAAACACATTATAGATGTCAATTTTGTAGATCATACAATGAAAAACCTTGAAATATAATTTGTTGTTCTTCTTTGTTTTCCCTCAGCTATCTCTGTAAATAAGAAAATACAACTTGCTTGCTCCTAACCATTAGTAATTAATCAAACGTTTAGCATTCACTAAATACTATATAAACACAACCAATGCTTAAGATGTGGTTGCTGATCAAATGCCATAATCTATAAATCCGGTACTTCTCCTAATAATTTCAAATCATCCGAATTAGATCTAAGTGCTTAATATATGAGGATGAAATCAAGTGGTATATTGAATTCCACTACAAAGAATCAAAGATATGGACGCAACAAACGAATATATGCTCATGTTCTTGCATAATATAAATGTCTGATTTAACACATACATGCTTTAAGTTTGTCAAACATGAAAGCCATAAATTTTGGTCATTTTGAACCACAAA